GCCTTTTATGTACCTCAAGATCCACTTCACAGCTTCCTAATGATCTTTCCCAGGATTGGAAAGATACCTGCTAAAAATTCCAACCGCGTGAGCGATATCTGGTCTAGTACAAACCATGGCATACATCAAACTCCCGACTGCCGAGGAGTATGGAACACCCACCATAGCTTCTTTTTCTTCTTGACTCGTAGGACAACTTCGTTTACTGAGTTTGAAGTGATTGGCCAACGGCGTATTAACTGGCTTAGCAGCTTTCATGTTGAATCTCTCTAGAATCCGATTCACATACCGTTCTTGCGATAACCATAACTTCTTGGATTTTCGGTCTCGCATGATATGTATGCCCAGAATTTGTTTCGCAGGGCCCAAGTCTTTCATCTCAAAGGACTTTGCTAATTCCTTCTTCAGATCACCAATCAACTTCATATCCTGTCCCACTATCAACATATCATCTACATATAACAAAAGGATAATGAACTTATCACCTGGAAATTTCTTAACGAACACACAATGATCTGCATCAGTCTGGTATATCCATGACTCGCCATGAACGAGTCAAACTTCTTATACCACTGTCTAGGAGCTTGTTTCAGTCCATACAGGCTTCTTCAATCTGCAGACCATGTGCTCCTTTCCAGTCTTCTCAAATCCTTCTGGTTGCTCCATGTAGATTTCTTCATTTAGGTCTCCATGAAGAAATGCAGTCTTCACATCTAGTTGTTCAAGCTCCAGATCCAAGCTAGCCACCAATCCGAGTACTACTCGAATAGAGCTCATCTTTACCACCGGAGAGAATATCTCATCAAAATCTATTCCTCGCTTTTGTCCAAATCCTTTCACGACTAAGCGAGCCTTGTACTTCAACAGCTTGTCACCATCTTTCTTAAGCTTGAACACCCATTTGTTTTTCAAGGCTTTTCTACCTTCCGGAAGCTTCACAAGCTCATAAGTTTCATTTTTCATCAGTGAATCCATTTCTTCTTGCATGGCTTTCATCCACTGGCATTTATCCTTATGAGTTTGTACTTCTTCAAAGCTTTCTGGCTCCCCTTCTTCAGTGATGGTAATATACGTAGAACTAGGGTATCTCGTAGACGGTTGGAACGCTCGATTTGATCTCCTGAGCCGAGGCGGAGCTTCGAGGTCTTCTTGCTCGACACCTTCACCATCACCATCTTCTATTGCTGGCTCATCATCAACCCTGAGTTCTCCATCACACTCTCCCCCTGCTGTGGCATCTCCAGGAGGTTTGACAGGTGAAAGATCCACCTTTCCACCTGGTTCTCTGATTTCTGTGAAGCAGAATCAGACATAGTTTCTTGCTCATGGAACACTGCATCTCTGCTTCTGATAATTTTTTGATTTTCTGGATCCCATAACCTGTAGCCAAATTCCTCATCTCCATAGCCCAGAAATATACAAGGAATGGCTTTATCGTCAAGTTTTCGTCTTTGTTCCTTGCTTACGTGAGCAAAAGCTTTGCATCCAAACACCTTTAGATGAGAGTATTTAACATCACGTCCGGACCATACTCTCTCAGGGATATCAAAGCCCAAAGGAACAGATGGAGATCGGTTGATCAGGTAGCACGCCGTTAGAACAGCTTCACCCCAGAATGGCTTAGGTAGCTTAGCCATTCTTAACATACACCTCACTTTCTCCTATATGGTTCTGTTGATTCTTTCAGCCACACCATTATGTTGTGGGGTTCCAGGTACAGTCTTCTCATGCCTGATCCCATGCTCAGCACAATAATTCTTGAATTCATGGGAAGTATACTCCCCCCCATTATCTGAGCGAAGACACTTCAAAGGTTTACCAGCCTGTCTCTCCACCATAGCATGAAACCTTTTGAAATACTGAAACACTTCACCATTCGTTCTCAAGAAATACACCCACAATTTTCGTGAGGCATCATCAATAAATGTCACGAAATATCTGCTACCACCGAGACTTTCCACTTCCATGGGTCCACATACATCAGAATACACCATCTCCAACACATTCTCTTTCAGCTTCGAGGTTTTGCTGAAAGACACTCTATGATGCTTCCCAAAGAGACAATAATCACAAGGATTCAGTTTTGAATCTTTGGTAAATGGAATGAGGGACTTTCTTGCCAAAATTTGTAATCCTTTTTCACCAATGTGAGTCAGTCTTTTGTGCCACAAATTTGGCGAAGCATCATCTTCGACTGCATTCAATCCACCCTTGATCAGCTTCACTTGAGTTCTGTACAGTGTTGATCTCACTGTACCTCTAGCAACTAATAATGATCCTTTGGTAAGCCTCCACGTTCCCTTACCAAAATTATTAGTATAGCCTGCTAGATCCAATGCATGCACAGAGATCAGATTTAGACGTAAGTCCGGTACATGTCGCACATCCTTCAGTGTTATTGTGCACCCAATATCAGTTTGAATGCACACATCACCAACTCCCACAATATTTGCAACGCTGTTGTTGCCCATCTTTACTCTACCAAAGTCTCCTTCTTTGTATAGAGAAAAGAATTCCTTGTGAGAGGTTGCATGGTATGATGCTGCTGAGTCAATGACCCATTCAACACATGAATCTGCAACGTGACATTCTTCTTCTTCAACAGAGAGCAACACCACTTCCCCGTTAATCACAGGGGTTGCGGTATTTTAATCGTTCTCTGCCTTGTTGTTTCTCCAACCTCTGTTCTTCCAGGCTTTGCAGTTTCTTTTGATATGCCCTTCTTCACCGCAGTGATAACACTTGAATTTTCTCCTGGGTTGAGATTGTGATTTATCTCTGGATTTGTTATCTCGGCCTCTGCTTTTACTTCTCCTCCTGGTTTCTGTGACCAGGGCTTGGGAACTGCTTGCCCCAGAGTCTTTTCTCCTTGTTTCTTCATTAAACATACTGTCTTTGACTTGGGCCAAAGTCAGTTTTCCCTCAGGGGCAGAGTTGCTCAACGAGACCACCAGAGTCTCCCAGCTATCCGGTAAAGAACTCAAAAGTAACAGCGCCTGCAACTCTTCATCAAGTTTCATCTCCATGGTAACAAGTTGGTTCACCATGTCTTGAAACTCATTCAAGTGTTCTGCAACTGATCTTCCATCCCGATATTTTAAATTTACAAGCTTTCTAATGACGAAAGCTTTATTCTGTGCAGTCTTTTTCTGGTACATCTGTTCAATTTTGTTCCACAAAGTATGGGCTTTCGACTCTGTGGAAACATGGTGGAATATGCTGATATCCACCCACTGTCGGATTAAACTGACAGCCTTTCTGTGTAACTTTTTCCAATCGTCATCCTTCACATCATCTGGCTTGTTGTCTCCCTTTTCTACAGGATCGTACAGATCTTTGTAAAAAAGTATATCCTCCATTTTTGGCTTCCAAATGGAGTAATTTGTTGCTGTGAGCTTCACCATGGTACCCACGTTCTCCTCCATTTAATTTACATGGGTCGATACAGAGCCCAACGTGAGCTCTGATACCACTTGTTGGGCTCAGATACGCAAATGTGGAAGATGTAAATTAAAATATCAAGGTAAAATGGTAAACAATAATCCCAATCCCAGCAACTCAAGAATGACAAAAGAAAAAACTCTTGCAATAATACCGGAATAATTCTTTTCTGATGTGGAATTTCAGATTAAACTGCGACCACAGAGCATACTAAGAATATCCCAAATAAATAAAATATGCAAGAAATAAGACACCAAGATTTAACGTGGAAAACCCTCCAAATAGAGGAAAAAAACACGGGACAACCTCCGAACAAATCCACTATATTTTCAAGATAATTACAATATCTTTTCACACTCCCTTACACAAGAAATGTAAAATATAGTGACCCAGTGAGACCCCACTCCTAAACAAGGAATAATAGAGTTGATACCCAACCCGGTGTATTTTTCCCACACCCACAGGATTTACTCAAACAATCTATTTTTATCTCACTGAAAAATAACACACACAGAAATATTATTTCTGTACTCTCCTGCTCTCTCTTTTTTCTTCCTCTCCTTGGTGCGTCCTTCATCAGCTGAAGACTCCTCTATTTATAGGAGGAAATGTTAAATGTGAACTGATGAAAAATTATTGCTCCAACTCTTTCCTTGTTTTTTCATTTCAATAATTGCTTTCCTCCATGTGGGCAAAGTTGTTCTGCCAACAATTAGTTTTGTAAGTTTGTGACTTGATTCTTTTGATTACATGTGGCTGGACCCCACAAAAACAAATAAAGAATAAAAAAAGTAACAAAAATAGGACAAACACACGGGCCAACTCCGAATGCTTTCTCACCGGTAAGTTGGACGTCCACGAGCAGTCGAGGCTAAAGTGAGGTGCTCGTTTGGTCAACCTTCGTTTAATTTTGAACAACACCCAATTGGTCCCCAACAAGTCCTGGTCTCTCTACTTCAATTCCTTTCCAAACGGGACACTTAGGAATGACCAAGTGGGCTGCAAGCCCAACAATATTGGGTCTAAGACTGAAAATTATTTGGGCCATCGTTAAACATCGCTTGAACCCAAATATCAATATCAACATCAATTATTGTATATTGTTCTGGTTTAAACTGATTTCTTGAAAAGGCCAATTGCTATTTGCTCATACAATTTCAAGCCCTCTTGAGCTCGGCCGCCCTTCCGTGCACTGTATCTCCGGCCGCCGTTCCCAGCCATCCGCCGATTAAGTTAATAAGGTACTTCAGTTTGAGGAGTCACAAATTTTGTTCAACTCCTAATCGATGCGTTTCATTCATAAAGCTGTAATTTGTTGAGAACAGAAAAAGGTTTTCTAATGGAGGCTGATTAAGATGCTTATTCAGTTTTAATGCTCTGTAAATTTTTCGCTGATGGAGTTACGAATTGGAGTTTTAGCATATTTTAGTTATTGAGATGCATAAAATTTTGAATATTTCATGTTTGGAAGCTTGTGTGTAAATGGCACTACTGAATTGTTGCCATTAGTTTAAAGGCCCTGTGTATCTTGCTTCTAATTTGAAAATATATAATTTTAGATGAAAATAGCTGTAGAAGGGTGCATGCATGGAGATTTGGATAATGTATATGCTACTCTATTACACCTGCAAGAAGTTGAAAAAATCAAGATTGATCTTCTCATTTGCTGTGGGGACTTTCAGGTACATTCTTATTCTGCAGTTCTCCTGTTTGATTACTTCGACTGGTTTCTATATGTTTTCTTAGGTTTGTTCACGATTTGTGGTTTATGTATACTTAAATGAATTAATGATGATGTGAGGAAAGAAATCTGTGGACAAGTGACATGTGATGACAGGTATTGAAGAAGTCTAGTGAATGGACTTCAGTATAATGGATGATTATAAGATGCACCGTAGAATTTCATTGTTCAAAGTATTTGTTAATTTCATTCTCTCAGAAGTATGAAGCTCCAAACTTGAGTCCTACCGACGTTCACTGATTTTGATGATTTTTGACACAATCAGGAAGTATAGTTAGTACCCCTATCGTTCTGGCAAAAAAAAAA